ATCCGTCTATCCGCGGTTTTAGTTTGTCCTTTCTGACTGTCTATCTGCGGTTTTATTTTGTTTTTTCTGACTGTCTATCCGCGGTTTTATTTTGTCCTTTCTATCCGTCTGTCCGCGGTTTTATTTTGTTTTTTCTGTCCGTCTATCCGCGGTTTTATTTTGTTTTTTCTGTCTGTCTATCCGCGGTTTTATTTTGTTTTTTCTGACTGTCTATCCGCGGTTTTATTATTTTTTTTCTGACTGTCTATCCGCGGTTTTATTTTGTTCTGTCTATCCGCGGTTTTATTTTGTTTTTTTCTGTCTGTCTATCCGCGGTTTTATTTTGTTCTTTCTGTCTGTCTATCCGCGGTTTTATTTTGTTTTTTTCTGACTGTCGGTTTTATTTTGTTTTTTTCTGACTGTCTATCCGCGGGTTTATTTTTTTCTTTCTATCTGTCTATCCGCGGTTTTATTTTGTTTTTTTCTGACTGTCTATCCGCGGTTTTATTTTGTTTTTTCTGACTGTCTATCCGCGGTTTTATTTTTTTTTTTCTGACTGTCTATCCGCGGTTTTATTTTGTTTTTTCTGACTGTCTATCCGCGGTTTTATTTTGTTTTTTTATTTTGTTCTTTTGTTTTTTCTGTCTATCCGCGGTTTTATTTTGTTTTTTCTGTGTCTATCCGCGGTTTTATTTTGTTTTTTCTGTCTGTCTATCCGCGGTTTTATTTTGTTTTTTTCTGTCTGTCTATCCGCGGTTTTATTTTGTTTTTTCTTACTGTCTATCCGCGGTTTTATTTTGTTTTTTTTTATGATCCGCGGTTTTATTTTGTTCTTTCTGTCTGTCTATCCGCGGTTTTATTTTGTTTTTTCTGACTGTCTATCTGCGGTTTTATTTTGTTCTTTCTGTCTGTCTATCCGCGGTTTTATTTTGTTTTTTTCTGACTGTCTATCCGCGGTTTTATTTTGTTTTTTCTGTCTGTCTATCCGCGGTTTTATTTTGTTTTTTCTGACTGTCTATCCGCGGTTTTATTTTGTTTTTTTCTGACTGTCTATCCGCGGTTTTATTTTGTCCTTTCTGACTGTCTATCTGCGGTTTTATTTTGTCCTTTCTGTCTGTCTATCCCCGGTATTATTTTTTTTCTTTCTGACTGTCTATCCGAGGTTTTATTTTGTTTTTTCTGACTGTCTATCCGCGGTTTTATTTTGTCCTTTCTATCCGTCTGTCCGCGGTTTTATTTTGTTTTTTTTTCTGTCCGTCTATCCGCGGTTTTATTTTGTTTTTTCTGTCTGTCTATCCGCGGTTTTATTTTGTTTTTTCTGACTGTCTATCCGCGGTTTTATTTTGTTTTTTTCTGACTGTCTATCCGCGGTTTTATTTTGTTCTTTCTGTCTGTCTATCCGCGGTTTTATTTTGTTCTTTCTGTCTGTCTATCCGCGGTTTTATTTTGTTTTTTCTGACTGTCTATCCGCGGTTTTATTTTGTTTTTTCTGACTGTCTATCCGCGGTTTTATTTTGTTCTTTCTGTCTGTCTATCCGCGGTTTTATTTTGTTCTTTCTGTCTGTCTATCCGCGGTTTTATTTTGTTTTTTCTGACTGTCTATCCGCGGTTTTATTTTGATTTTTTTCTGACTCTCTATCCGCGGTTAAATTTAGCCTGTTTAGATTGATTCAGTTTTCGAGATCTCTTCACCTTGCGACTTTCTGGTTATTATCCTTTGGAGTTCCGCTTTGCCTGTTTAACCACCTGTTCTGCTTGGTACACTATGGTGACTTTGATGCCGTCTGGAGTTTTTCTCTGATCGTTCTTAGACAGATATTCATTGATGCAGATCATTCCCGGACCACAACTATTACCCCCTAGGTTATATCCTGATTGTATGTCCTAGAGTAGTTTTATGTCTCCACCAGCCAGTTCTCCTATAGAAAACGACCCACTGATCAATGTCTGGTATGTAAGGCTTATTCGTCGTAAAAAAAGGGTTATCGTTTTAAATGAAGTGTCAGGCATATAGGTTGACGTAAGAATGATGCTGATGCACTGTACCTGTATACCTATATCATTTATCTGTTGCAAAGTAATGCGTCGGTAATAGGGTTGTATTAATGTGTTGTCATTAGCAAACAATTGTCTCGTTATCAGTAATTGATTACTACTTACGATAGACAACTCGCACCAAATACACATCCACTGGACATTGTGTTATCTCGAGTGTGAAACTCGGTGAACGCAACCATCCATAAGCCATTCAGATAGAGTGGACGATTGTACTTTAAATGACCACGGGATGATATCGAGGTAGACGTCCAGACAGTGTGTATTACTTAGGTACAGGTAGAAGATAATGATAGCATCTAATCAACGGTCATCCTCGGGTACATATTGTTAAAATTGTTTTGGTCATCCCTCGAACTGAACCAAATATTCCACTGCGCAGGAAGTCCAATACACACGTTAGTGGTTAGGCATCTTTATACTACAGAGATTTGGGTACCAGGTACTACCACGGGGAGGAGATCGCATACTGAGAGGCTGATACCACCTGGCACCTCACACAGATGTAATACCAAGGGGAAAAGAAGAAACCTGGTACCACATACCGGTATACCGGGGCAAGTTGTACCCTCAGGGCAAGTGGAGACCGGGGTATCTGGTACCACATACCTACCGGTATACCGGGGCAAGTTGTACCCTCAGGGCAAGTGGAGACCGGGGTATCTGGTACCACATACCGGTATACCGGGGCAAGGTGTACCCTCAGGGCAAGTGGAGACCGGGGTATCTGGTACCACATACCGGTATACCGGGGCGAGTTGTACCCTCAGGGCAAGTGGAGACCGGGGTATCTGGTACCACATACCGGTATACCGGGGCGAGTTGTACCCTCAGGGCAAGTGGAGACCGGGGTATCTGGTACCACATACCGGTATACCGGGGCAAGGTGTACCCTCAGGGCAAGTGGAGACCGGGGTATCTGGTACCACATACCGGTATACCGGGACGAGTTGTACCCTCAGGGCAAGTGGAGACCGGGGTATCTGGTACCACATACCGGTATACCGGGGCAAGATGTACCCTCAGGGCAAGTGGAGACCGGGGTATCTGGTACCACATACCGGTATACCGGGGCGAGTTATACCCTCAGGGCAAGTGGAGACCGGGGTATCTGGTACCACATACCTGGATACCTGGCGAGTTGTACCCTAAGGGCAAGTGGAGACCGGGGTATCTGGTACCACATACCTGGATACCGGGCGAGTTATACCCTCAGTTTACTATTACTCAAAACTCTACACAGTTGTCAAAAATCTGCTTCTGAAAACGATATCACTGGCAGTTGAAATTCAACAAGGAAAAATGCAAGTAAATCCAGCAAGGTCCAATGACCCTTTAAGTATAAAATGGACCATACAAATATACTGATCCCCGAAAGAAACGCAAGTGCGAATTAAGATACGTTTTTGTAAGAAATCAAAATAGAAACTAAATTTTTACTGATGTATTGGAGAGTTGGCGTCAAAAAAGTAAACAAAATAGTCATATGAAATAACGCGTGGTCGATAACATATTCATATAAAAAAATAAGTGTAGGAGCTTTTGCGTAAGTAGTTGAAACGGTTGGACCGGTTGAATATGTAAGAAAAACGCCAGTTACCGATCAGAAGCTTGACTGCGCAATATTTGACACGTGCAGTTTGAGGGGTCTAGCCGTACCTGTCCGAAACTTATTTGCTTAATTTCAGTATAAAAAAAGTAGGGTTGGTGCACTCACATGTTTAGCTGGAGCAATGTGCTATAAAGTACGATTGAAATTGATGGTATCTTAATTTAAATTAATTAATTTGTGTTTAACAGGAAATGCCGATTCTGCGTATTTTAAATTTTACATATATCAGGTCCAGTACACGGTACAAGTGCGTTCATTTATAGTGGAATGATTCCAGACCACCTGAACCGTTTCAACCGAATTACGCGACTGCAGCCTAGGTTACAGGTAAAGAAACAAATTCTCGTATAGTATAGTCATTGAGTGGAATATATTATCAGGAAATATAGTCCCAGCTGAAAAATTAAATACATTCAAAAGTCGTCTGAATACACTCTGAAAATACACGTATTACTTTTACGGGTGTCGAAGGAGCGAGGCGGTGGTCATTGTCACTCAGGTGATGGAACATGTTTATTTGCTTCAGCTGGTAAAGCCGGTCGATTGCCGGAGACCCGGGTTCGATTCCAGGTCGGTGCACAAATTTCCCTTACATCATCATTGAGGCTGAACCGTCCACTGGGCTTTGCTGGCCTTATCCGACTCTAATGCTGTTCTGTAGCTGCGAAGTGGAAGGTGGGCCTCTGACGAGCCTAAGGAAAGGACCCCAATGGTCTGGAATACATGTAACGGTATTTTTCGTGAAGTTTTTCGGAATTTATCCAAGGAACTTTCCAGTTTATATGATGATTCTAGGCCTTCTGGTTACTGAGAAGAAGACGTTGATGCTGGACAGAAGGACGATCCAGTAAGCTCACTTGGTCCTTCGCTCAGGTGAGCTAAAAAAAACCCGATAAAACAATAATTTATTAATAAATTAATTCGCGTTTTTGACATTCGGGACACTTCAGATTCGTTGAATAAAATTTGGTCTCGGGACTGTTCCCTTTCAAATATAATAGGCTATTAATACATGAACAGATGAAAAATTTAGGCTCCTAAGAGTGGTGGATCTTGTTAAACGTCAGAGTCCATTCAGTAAAAAGTCCGCCTATTGACTGTGGACAAACGTAATGTTTTATCAACGGCTTCCAGACAAAAATACGAAACTAATGCTGACGTAGCAGCAGCTGCGATTTACCTATTACATTCCAAATTCAACATGGCGGCCACTATTACCTTCGGGCTTGTTTACCAAACGTAGTCGGTTTAGAATGGGTTTACATTGCCGTCACGTGAGGAAAGGTCTCTAATGGCCTACAGCACTGTTCTTACTTGAATATTTCTGTATTTCTTAAAGTATTCCCTCATAGATATGAATTTTGGAAAGATGAAGAAAATGTCAAGACCAATATCCAGAGTGACAGGCACAGTGTCACAGAGCAGCATGGAAAGGTTTGTAATGACTAAATTTTGTCGTTTGATTGATGTAACGATTTGGCATTTCCACCATAGCTTGGTAGCCATGATACATAAATACATATATAGTTATTGTACAGTCAACTCATCGCTACAGGTAATCACTAATTACACTGATCTTAATCACCAGGTAGTGCATATGGGTAATATATGAAATGTTGTGCTCAGCCTACTACATAAATCGGTACTACTTTACAAAGTTACATTAGATAGGATTGTTTGATTAGGCAGGGCTTTATGATTATGTTCATGACATTTGTGATATTTTAGAGAAGGACGTTTATATGTTTCTTTTAATTGTGTTAGGTGACTATATGGAATAAAATAGAAATATAAACATAGAGTCTAGATAAAGACGTATATATATAGTCTATAGATATTGACCCATAAGTAAAGTCAATACTTAAACTAGAAGACCTTTACATATAGTCTATAGATATATGGATTCACGCAAGTGGTTGCCAATGTTGTGTATTGTGATAACACATTGAAATTGATGAATGAATATGGAGTTTGGCAATTTTGTTTGGTGACAAAAAAAATTTACAATGATTTTATAAAGTGCTATTGAAAGTAAGCTTGTAGTCTATTTATTGATGTTGTAATAGGATCAGGTTGGTGTGGCTTGTATAGTGTTAAAGTCTCTGTTAATCAGCTGATTTAGTATGCTTCTTTGGCTCAGTTGGTAGAGCCATTCGATTATCATGCCAGAGACCTGGGTTTGATTCCTGGTCAGGGCACTTGACAGGATAAAGAATCTTAAATGAAATGAAAAATAAGAGTGAGGTGTGTTCCCTTTAAACTAATGTGTGTTTTTTACATAGATAAATGCCTATGTAATAAATACAACTGCAATTTAATTAAGAAATACAATAACACTTACAAGAAAAGTTGATTTTTACAGTTCTTATGCAGCCATGGTTCTTAACCCAAATTCAAAAATGGTTTTTCCCTTTCCTTTTTTACCCCCAGTGAAATGCGTTGTGGGGGATATTGATTTAGGCTCCATGCATCTCTCTATTCAAGGGTTTTTCCGGGCTATAACTTCAAAACCTTGTGGTATTGACAATATTTCAATTTTTATAATTTTGGTGACCATGGTAACATATACAAACAACACAAAATTAGTGTTTACTTTCTTTTCTAGGCTACGACTTCAAAACTATTCCACTCAACTCAACAAAACTTTCTGTATATATTAGGTTGTTACCCTAGTTGTGCTTTTTCTTATTGAGGACATTTTGGTATTGATCTTTTTTCTCTTACCATCAAATTTTCCATTTCTTGTGATTTCTTGTATTGCTCCAGAGCTTATAGAGTGTTGCATAAACTTGTTCATGGACAAACCCAGCTCTATTCAGATATCATAATAATAATAATAATGATAATATACTAAATTTGTATAGCGCCTTATCTAATTCGTTAGGATTACACTAAAGCGCTTTACATAAAATAACATAAAAAATTAAGCATAAAAGTATATCGTTCATTATCCATCAATGTAAAATGTCCATCACAAGAAACCTAAAACATTAAAATTATGTCATACACTATCAATAGAAATCCTATCACAATTTAAACGCTGTTTTAAAAAGATGTGTTTTCAGTGCGGATTTAAAAGCAGACAGAGATTCTATGTTCCTCATAGAAAATGGAAGATTATTCCACAAGTGTGCTGCTGCTGTATCAAAGCAGCGGTGTCCATATGTGGCAGCCCTTGCTTTGGGGGAAATAAGCAATGCACCAGACTGTGACCTCAGTGTCTGAGTTGGTTTATAGGGATGTACAAGTTCCTTGAGGTACTCTGGTGAGTTCCCATGGAGAGTCTTAAACACAGTCATGAGCAGCTTATACTGACAGCGATATTCAAACGGAAGCCAGTGTAAGGACTCCAGCACAGGTGTTATATGGTCCCTTTTTTAGTTCTTGTAATGAGTCGCGCCGCAGTATTTTGCACTCTCTGGAGACGCTTAGCCAATGTACCTGGAATGCCATATAAGAAAGCGTTCCCATAGTCCAGTCTGGATGTTACGAGTGAATGCACTAGAGTCTTGCAGGCATCAGTGGACAGAAATTGCCGAATACACCCGATATTCCTTATTTGAAAGTGGCATGACTTTGTTACAGGAGTCACTTGTTTTTCCATACTCAGGGAGCTATCCATGAAAACTCCAAGGTTCTTTACAAATGGGACAGCCCTGATAGAGTTTTTGCCAACTTGAACCTGGAATGCTGGAATGTTTTTTATTTTGTGTTTTGGAGTGAACACAATGACGTCCGTTTTGTCTTGATTCAGTTTTAACATATTCGAAACTGTCCATGAACTAATGTCTGATAGACATGCTTCCATCTGTGCAGATAGGTCAATCAAATTGTCAGTGGGTCTTATAACCATATACAATTGGGTATCATCCGCATAGCAATGATAGGACAGGTTGTGACGGCGACAAACATCTCCGATCGGTTTGGAGTAAAGACAGTACTTTCTTGGCCCAAGTACTGATCCTTGGGGTACACCAAAAGACAGTGTTCTATCCTTGGAAGTAGTACTGCCTATAGCCACACTTTGCCTCCTATCAGTTAAGTAAGACTGTATCCAGGAGAGTGCATCATTGGACACACCGTAAGTATGTATGTTCCAACCGCTTAAACAGTATACCGTGATCAATAACATCAAATGCGGTGGATAAGTCCAACAGTACAAGAACAGCTGAACAATTGCAGTCCAACGCATTTACTATGTCATGGTGTACCCTCAAAAGAGCAGTCTCTGTTGAATGGAATGGACGGTAAGCTGACTGATGGCTGTCGTTAAAATGGTTTACATCGAGATGTGCTTCTAGACGCTTTGCCACTACCTTCTCCAGAATTTTAGACAGGAATGGCAGGTTTGATACCGGCCGGTAGTTTTTCATCACCTCCTTGTCCAAACCATGTTTTTTTTAGCAATGGCCGAATGATGGCTGTTTTAAAACAAATCGTTACCTTTTGCTCAACCAGAGACTTGTTAATGATAGCAGAAATCAGCGGGAGCAGGTGTTCCACACACTGTTTCAAAAGGTATGTAGGAATAGGGTCAAGTTCACAGGATTTGGAAGGCGCACTGATGATAATCTTGCGAAGTTCGTCAATAGATACCGGGTCAAACTTTGTCAAATGTTCACCTTGAAATTCTTTGTCTGATGACATAGTCATCAGTCAAACACACAGGATCTTCATCAAGATATAAACTCTTCTATAAGTTGATATATAAGACATATATATATATATATTTATAGAAAATGTTGAAATTGAGGAGATGCAAGAAAATTTAATCGATAATTGACAAAAGAAGATGTTACGTTTTGCACATTCACAGTATTAAGTCTTCCGGTGATAGTAGTGTTACATAACGTCACAAATTGTTATACTGGTAAATGTATCATATTTTAGTTTTACACCAACATCTGAGTGTGGAGGATAATGCCATGCTTCTTGACTCCTTGTTCGCAGTTTAAATAATCAAATTTGTTTTACACAATTTGGATAAAATTGTGACCAGGAAAAGCAAAACTCTAATCTAATATTTCATACAGGAAATATCTAACTTTATTCCATTTTCTTCATATATCATTAAAACATACAAATCCCATAAACGTTATATATGTTTATGTGCAAGTACCAAGTACAAGTATATTGTTAAGAAGTATTGAAGTCAGTTTTGTAATTTTTATCTTAAATTCTTATATATATGTATGAAAAATACAGGTACAATTTTGTGATTAATTTCTTCCCTTTCATAGTTAAATCACTGCTGTTCTTATTCCCTTAAAAGTATATTCTGAGATCAGGACTCATGCATTCAGCATCATTTATTATATAGTATGCATGGAAAATTTCTGTTGTTGCAAGTTTTTTTAAATTTAGGAATTTATGTGAAGTTCATATACCTGACAATGCAATGTTTTTTTCTTTAGCTATCTAGTATCTTTAAGATTTTATTATCTCACCTGATCTGAAGAACCAGTGAGCTTATATTATGTCATAGTATGGTGTCAGTTGTCTGTCTGTTGTCCATCAACTGTTTACTAAAAATAGCTACTTATCATGACACACTGAACAGATTTTGATACTCCCTGAAAGGGAGAGCATGTAGTTGCCGCTTCACCCTTTTGTCTGTCTGTCATAATTTTGTCCAGAGCATAACACAAAATTAAATTTCATAGATAAATCATAACAAGGAGAAGTGCAGTGCACAAGAACCATCAATCTTTTTTGCATGATTTAGGAGTTATCATCCTGCCAACTTTCTCGATTCAGTTGTGAGTTTCTTGATTTTCACCCCGTATCCCTGCCGCCCGATCGTATTCATCAAAATTGGGGTAATCTCCTGATTTCAGGTAGGTAGGTCATAAGTAATCTTGTTCTGTTCGTCAAATTAGTAAGGCTGACCACCTGGCTACAAAATCAAGGCCTAGCAAGGTGAGTATGCTGCCCAATTATCTAATTAGTGTCACCCAATTACACCTGTACACAGCGGATTGTTCCCTACCTGGTTAATGGTAGAACATTGGTCAGGACTCGGGGAATGCTTGGTTATATGAGGTCATTTTACAGATAATTAAGTGGTTATTTCCAGGTGTATACAACCTATTCAGTCAATAACAAATTCAACAAGAAATTGTTTAAAAAAAACGATCTTTATGATATAACAATGTGAAAGCATTCCTCAATCAATACCAATAATTTAAACACATCAGTCCTTAAAAAACGACCAAGTTGGCATCATGAGTAAAAAAATCAGATCGAAAGTTCAAGCATGTTTGGTTCTGCACAAAAACTTGATAATAATTAAATAGGAAGTAGCTACACTTTTGCAAAATGGGAATAGTTATTTCCTAAATGTATATTTCACAGTAAATACAAAAATTTTAATATCTTGGACTATTAGATCTAGATTTAAACATTTTGAATTTTATGAAAGAATTTATTTCATTTATATATTTATATTTTTTTGTCTCTTTCTATTTTAATAAAACAACAGCTTCATGGGATGTTTAATATTAATTTTTCCTTATTTCAACTAAACAAATTCATTCAGAAGCATTGTATTTGGAAATACATATCCTTACTAACTACCAAACAGATAATCACCAATCTTAATATCTGTTATATTGGCTGAGTTCAAGGAGTACTGAGAATTTAAGTTATGTATGATAATATTGAATCATGTGTGGAGTTGAAAAATACCCGTTCTGAACTATTTGACTGTTTAATAGGTGTGCGACAAGGCAAAAACCTGTCCCCGTTTTAATTTGCGATCTTTTTGAGTGATATTGAAGATTTCTTTCGTAAAAACAGTAGTGTTCCTTTGAGACATTTAAAGGAGAACTTTTAAAATGAACTTAACATATTTCTGGACCTTTTTGTCTTGCTTTATGCTAATGATACTATTATTCTCTCAGACTCTGTTGAAGGTTTACAGAAGGTGCTGGATAGCTTTCATTTGTATTGTACCAAGTGGAAACTTAATGTTAATGTCAAGAAAACCAAGGTCATGATATTTTGTAAGAAAAGGTTAAAAAATAGTGAAGGTTTTAAGATTAATGGCCTTATAATTGAAGAAGTAGATAGCTTTAATTACTTTAGTGTGACATTTAATTTTAATGGTAACTTTTATAAGTGCAAACAAAAGTTGCATGAACAATCACAAAAGGCTCTTTCTCTGTGTATAGGAGTATTAAAAATCAACATCTTCCAATTGATTTACAGCTCAAATTATTTGACACCTTAGTTTAGCCTATCTTACTTTATGGATCAGAAATATGGGGCTTTGAAAATATTAAAATTGTCGAGCAAGTCCACTTGCAATTTTGTAAAAGAATTTTAGGGGTAAGAAACACGACACCAAATTTTATGGTATATGGCGAACTTGGTCGTTACCCTCTGGAAATAGATATTAAACTCAGAATGGTTAATTTTTACAACTCGTTAATAATGCATGAGTCAAAGTTAAGTAGTCTTATGTACAGACTGATATACAAACTTCATGTCAACAATTTGTGTAAGTTTAAATGGGTAGATTTTATTAAATCTTGCTTTGATGATGTAGGACAGAGTGCTGTTTTCCAGAATCAGGGCCCAATTAGTAAATACTATATAAAAACCTGTATTAAAAAAACTTTAATAGATCAATTTATACAAAAATGGAGAAACGAAACGGAAAATTCATCTAGAGGCTTATTCTATAGTAGTTTTAAAAATTCTTTACTTCTTGAGCCATACCTTACACAACTCTCTGTTAAAAACAGACAGATTTTATGCAAAATTAGATGTTGTAATATGAAATTTCCCATCGAAACTGGAAGATGGCGCAATGTTCAGAGACAGGATAGGAAATGTTCTCTATGTAATACCTCAGTAGGAGACAAATTCCATTATTTATTTCAGTGCACTGATGTAAGATTGATTGAACTGAGACAGAAATTCTTACCTTCATATTACTGGAGAAATCTAAACGTGTTCAAAATGTACGGATTGCTCTCAGTTTGTTATAAAAAAGTTCTAAATGCCTTTTGTTTATTTTTAAAGTCTTGACAAAATATTGTGAGAAAGATAATGTTTTCATTATATAAGTGGTTTTATGAAACCCAAGTATATCAGCTTTATAAAAAAAACTACCAGATGCCATGTATTTACTTTAAAACAATCTTAATCAAATATTGTGAAGAAACACTATGTTATCATTATATAATATCAAAGGGTATTTAGATGTACTAATTGATATCAGTCTTTTAGATAAACACCTGATGCCCTCTGTTTATTTTAAACAGTGTGGTGTTATAATAGCAAAGTGTATATAATGTGCAAATTGCTATCAGTTTGATATAAATACTTAATACCCCATTTTATTTCAAAGTCTAAACAAAATATAATATTATCCTTAAATAATGTGGTTTAATGAAACCAATTTGATATACAAAAGTACCTAATGCCCTTTGGTTATCTTGAACAGCCGTAACAAAATATTGTGAAGCAATACTGTGTTATCGTTATATAATGTGGTGTTATATTAAAATGTATTTGAATGTACTAATTGCGATCAATATGAAAATTGAGAGTACTAAATTCATCCTGTTTATTTTAATGTCTTAACAAAATATTTTGAAGTAACACTATGGTATCCTTATATATATCCTTATATAGCGTGATGTTATGCTACCAGCTTGGTTTATATAAGTAAATTGTATTGTGCTAGTTGTTATCAGTCTGATCTATGAAAGTACTGTGTTAAATAGTCCTAACAAAATACAGTGAAGCGTTACGACTTTCAGTTACCATCCATTTTGTCACGTATCTATTGATATAGTATTGTTTTACCTCATGTTTTACATTTTCATGTATCTGAGGATCCAATAAACTTGAACTTGAACTTGAACTCGTTAAGGTTAAAATTACAGTTCAGTCGTGATGTAACAACGCATTGTCTTGATCACGTGATGATAACAATACAGATTGTTACGCTGTACAAAGTAAAAGGAACAAAGATAACTATAGATTATATACATACAAAAATTGTACAGCGATGCTGTTTATAAATTGAAGTGTTCAGTTACAATGTTCATGTGTTGGTTGTATTTTTAAAAGTATAATCGATGCATTGAGACCAGCTAGGCTAGCCGTCATTGGGAGCCAGTGTCAATAAATGTTTATGATGAAATGTAAATATGGGTAAAAACAGTTCAGCCATGTCATGCTCAGGTAAAGTATTCCAACGTTCTTTCGGTTTGCCTCCTATACTGGCTACAAGTCCGGAAGTGTGTGACGTTTTCTCTAATCAGGAATGGCGGAGCTGGTATCTGCATTGCTGGTAGCTCTCGTTCTCTTCTGAGTGGGTCGGATGGATATACATTCAGGTTCCTTCCGTAAGATATGTTTCTATTACAATACATGTCGGTATCTAGAACAGGTTGGAAATATTTGTTGAAGGGGTGGCCATATAGTATAGTGCAGGTTTCTTGTAGGAATGAATGGATTTTGTCCAAATTTGGTCTGAAGTATTCTTGGGCAAAACGGAATTAATTTTCTATCAATGGTGGGTCTTGGCCCCAAGGGGTAAGAGGGGCAGGGTCCAATATGGGAAATAGAAAATATCTCCAATATCCGACTTTGCTTGTAGGAGTGATTGGGTTTTATATAATTTTGGTCTGAAGCATTCTTAGGTGAAGGCAATCAGTTTTGTATAAATGGTAAGTCTTGGCCCTCTTGAGAAGGGAAGTCATGGCCCCCTTAGGAAGGGGGAGTAGGGGTGGGGGGCTCAATAAAGGAAATAGAGCCAAATTTTTTTTTTTAAATCCTACTTTTCCTGTAGGTATGATTGGATTTTACCAAAATTTGGTTGGAAGTATTCTTGGATGAAGTGTTACTATAGTATTTTCAACTTTGATAGTGACATACATGTAAATCAAAGAGACTAAGAAAAAAAAAAACAAATGAAAAATATGGAACAGAAAGATTGCAATAGGTGTTTTATAAATAGGTCCTTCTCAGATTTAATGGGACTATTCTCTTTTGTTTAAATGGAAGACCAGAAAACAAGCAGGATCCTTTTCAACTTCTAAGCTTCAAAATGGTATAGACATTGCTTGAATGCAGGTTCTGCCACAGTTCAAGCTCATGGCATTCACAAAGACTGTCACGCTGAGATAAGTAGTCAGCTCAGGAGCCCATAGCTTCATTTTGTCCATGCATGACCCTCTTGAAAAAATTTGAAGAAATGTCATATAGCATTGTCCTTCTGTTTTGAACTTTGTTTGGAGATCTCGTCCAACAGTAACCGATCCATTCCAAACTTTGCACACTTATTTAATCACCATGATTCATAAATTTGTGTTTTCCTGAACAGCATTTTGATTAAACTGTTTTTAGAAGAGTTGACCTTACTATCTATTTTTTCCCCATGATCTAAATGTTGCCGGGAGATCTCCTCTCTCAGGTTTTATCTGATCTCTTTCCAACTTGACAGGTTTTTTAACGTTGATGTGATGTTTTTTTCCTTGGACAGCAGTTTAATTCATCAAGTTTTCTGAAGAGATATTGCACTTGTTTTTTACCAGTATTACTAGATAAGATTTGGTAACCTGGAAACCTAGTTAGATTAATCAATGATTTAAAGCACTGACTGTTTCTTTTTTCAGTGATGTCTTCAGTGACTATGGCGATGACAACAAAAACAACAAAAGGTAAACAAAATGAGCTTTTAATCAATAATTATAGCTAGGATTTAACATTTTTGTGGGTTTTTTTTCTAATCGGTGTGATTTTCTACTTTTCTGAAATTATTTATTTTTAAAATTTTGTCTACCAATCTTTGAAAAGAGCATATCAACCTGCAATTGGTCAGTTTTTCCTCCTGGAACCAGTTAAATTACTTCTCAATTGTGCCATCACATGTTTCAGGGGTGCAGAGAGTGAAAGTGATTTTAACCTTTGACCTGTCTAGGATGATTTACAAAAATGTATATATCTTAATAAGTTAATTAAGTTTGATGTTTAGTTGAAAAATGAACAGCAATATTACACAAATGTGAGAGTTGTTTGATATCTTATTATCTTAGGTAAATTGTTTTCCAGGTTTTATTAGTTACAAAGTTTGGGTGGTCAGGTGGTGCAGTGGTCACACACTTGCTCTTCACCAAGGAGTTTTCCATGGGTTCTCCAGTTTCCAAAATAAAATCCCTCACATGGTTTCGTTTGGGCAAACAAGAGTGATTATTACAGCTGGAAGATCTTGTTCTGCAATTGTAGTGTAATTTTAGTTACATACTTTGTAGTAATAATTTTGCTGTAGAAATAGTGCTTTTCCAGTGCTATATCAGTGTAGTTTATCATGGTTCCCTTATCTGACAGATAAGAATTGTGTATTAGGAAAACCAATTTTTTTTAATGCAACTCATTTTGCAATTTCTATGATAATTTTTTGTATTTATACATATTAATGTTGTCATGTGCTAAATTGCAAAGGCTAGTAGCCACAAAAGAAAGGTTTTTAACAGTATAAGAAAATGTCATGTTTTAAATACATTATTTCAAATCATGACTGTTTAAATGATCTCTGTTGCTTTTATACTGTGCCAAGATGGTGATGACCTCAATAACAGACTTGTTTAAAATATCTTACAGTAAAATTAACTTATTATTTCTGAAATCATCTGACCTGTTAGAAATAGGTCTTCTGATTTCTTTGAACAAATGAAATCTTTGGCAGTGAGTGAAATATGTATTAAGTTTTCCTTAAACTATGTATAAATTAACATTGATACATTAATTTTCAGAGTTAATCGCAACATGAGTGAGAAGAAGAGACGTGACCAGTTCAATGTGCTTGTCAATGAGCTGTGCTCCATGGTTTCCACAACTAACAAGAAAATGGATAAATCTACAGTCCTAAAGTCCACAATCGCTTACCTGAAAAATTACCAAGGTATGTAAAGATATAGAATGTGACATAATCAAATATTTTCATGAAAACACGAGATGTATTTACCTGAATGTGACGAATCATTGAAAAGTGTCAACAACTACCGGAATCAAAGATATTTTCATGGTGCAGACCTACAGATGTTTTGGGAAAGAAATATGCTCAGTATTAAAGTAACTAGGTTATGTTATTTTTTATTTGTATATTGTATATTACAAAAAAATAGTTCATGTATTTTCACAAACAGTTATTTGAGATCTACAAAGTATCATATCTGCTTATTAGCTGAAACAGCATGCCACATTTAAAATGCTTTAAACAGTTGCACAGTTCAGAATATATGCCTGTCCTTGACACGCTTTAGAGATGATCAAATATACATGAGAATTACAAATTTTATTACATTATGGGGCTGGTACACCTCCCCCTCTAGGTTTGGACTTTCTTTTGATTACTCTGGATTTTCCTGAGTTGCCTTCTAGGTTTTAAACTTTGGGCTCTTAGCCTCACTGACGAGTCCTAGAAGGACAAAACAGCTGTATGATGTATCATCACTGACGAGTCCTAGAAGGACAAAACAGCTGTATGATGTAGCCTCACTGACAAGTCCTAGAAGGACAAAACAGCTGTATGATGTAGCCTCACTGACAAGTCCTAGAAGGACGAAACAGCTGTATGATGCAGTTCAATTTCATTAATTGGCTCAACTGCAACTGATTTAAAATTGATATTAAGAGGTGCTAGTTACTTGTGTGTTTGTACAATCCTGACCACATGCATGTTTCAAGCAATAGGTCCTTGCAAGGACATATGATCTCTGGCTTATTACTATCTCTATGGAATTGAAAAAGATATGGGTTGTCTTTTTGTTTTTTGTTGTTGTCCGGAATCAAAATGATTTTTACTGCATGAGGAAACCAAAGTTCCCTAAGAAAACACAAATTGCCTAGATACATATACATTATCATAACAGGAGTGATTGTGTGACATCATAACTATATGGGAGATCTCCATACAATTTCCATTTCAATCTCCAGTTGTTCTTCATGTTGTCATCGCAGTCAATGGTGTGAAATATATAGGATATCTGATAATGTTTCAGTCATGGATAAATTTTACAAGTGTGTACGATTTATTGTATCTTTCATTCTTGCTGCAAACTCATGAAAGTTACTTAAATATTAGACACATGAGTGAAAGATATTTGATATTACCGAAGCCACTGTTAGGTATTCTTTTTATTACATTTGCACAACAAAATAGCCAAATTACCTGGCATGTTTAGAACAAATATCAAAGAAGGAAGTTGACAAGGCTTTTTGCAGACACTATTCATTCTTTATAATTTCACAGTACGCAACAGAATATTGTCCATTTTTTAAAAAATCATGGAAAATATGTAAACACAAAAATCAAATTCAATGTAATTTTATTTTCGTATTCACATAGAAAATATCGCTCTTTTATGTTGCTAAGAGACAAAATTTGCTGTAAACATTTAAGGAGAGTTTAACCTTTGACAAGTTACTACGCTGCTGAAAATATAGCAGCAACCTAAGTTGTCTCTGTTGATGACACGTTAACATAAACATTTACCATGGAATTGAAGGTCGTGTCACAAGTTAACAACTCCTTCAGATGTTTTGTGCTTTTTGTACCTGGCTGAATGATTTTCACTAGTGAAAAATCACACTTTTAACAATGAGATGTTTCTCTATATTTCACTGGTAAAATTGTAATAAATTAGTATATATATACATATAAATATATATGACTCCATTTAAAATATTAACATTGTATGCCCCGCAGTAATAATAATTGGTTTCGCTATCAGAAGACTAAAATATTTGTAATCTTCCTACAGAGACGGCAGAACAAGCCCAGGCCCATGAGATCAAGGAGGACTGGAAACCATCATTCCTGTCCAATAATGAGTTTACACATCTAATGTTGGAGGTGAGATGACGATCTCTATCATATACGACCACAAGATCAAAGGTGGTAGACTATGTGGTATGAACAAAGACGTATGATCTTTGGTTAGGAATGATGGAGACATCACACTAGGCAAAACAAATATTAATGATTTGCTGTCAATTTCATTTTTATATCTAGAAATAACTTCTTAAACATATTAAGACGTAGTTGTCTTGGTTTGTATATTAAGGCGTTGTTGTCTTGGTTTGTATATTAAGATGTTGTTGGCTCCGTTTGTATATTAAGACATTGTTGACTTTGTATATTAAGACGTTGGCTCCGTTTGTATATTAAGACATTGTTGACTTTGTATATAAAGACGTTGTTGGGTTGGTTTGTATATTAAGACGTTGGCATGGTTTGTATATTAAGATGTTGTTAGCTCCGTTTGTATATTAAGACATTGTTGACTTTGTATATAAAGACGTTGTTGGGTTGGTTTGTATATTAAGACGTTGGCATGGTTTGTATATTAAGATGTTGTTGGCTCCGTTTGTATATTAAGACATTGTTGACTTTGTATATAAAGACGTTGTTGGGGTGGTTTGTATATTAAGACGTTGGCATGGTTTGTATATTAAAACGTTGTTGGCTTGGTTTTATATTAAGGCATTGTTGGCTTGGTATGTATATTAAGACGTTGTTGGCTCCGTTTGTATATTAAGGCGTTGTGAGCTCCGTTTGTATATTAAGACATTGTTGACTTTGTTTGTATATTAAGACGTTGTTGGCTTGGATTGTATATTAAGACATTGTTAGTTCTGTTTGTATATTAAGACATTGTTGACTTTGTATATTAAGGTGTTGTTGGCTCCATTTGTATATTAAGACGTTGTTGGCTTGGTTTGTATATTAAGACATTGTTGGCTTGGATTATATATTAAAACATTGTTGACTTGGATTGTATATTAAGACGTTGTTAGCTCCGTTTCTATATTAGGACGTTGTTAGCTCCGTTTGTATATTAAGACATTGTTGACTTTGTTTGTATATTAAGACGTTGTGGGCTTGGATTGTATATTAAGATGTTGTTGGCTTGGATTGTATATTAAGACGTTGTTAGCTCCGTTTCTATATTAGGACGTTGTTAGCTCCGTTTGTATATTAAGACATTGTTGACTTTGTTTGTATATTAAGATGTTGTTGGCTTGGATTGTATATTAAGACGTTGTTAGCTCCGTTTCTATATTAGGACGTTGTTAGCTCCGTTTGTATATTAAGACATTGTTGACTTTGTTTGTATATTAAGATGTTGTTGGCTTGGATTGTATATTAAGACGTTGGCTTGGTTTGTATATTAAGGCGTTGTGGGCTTGGATTGTATATTGAGAAGTTGTTGGCTTGGATTGTATATTTAAAGTTTGTTGATTGTGTGTATTAATAATTTGTTTATTGCAGGCATTGGATAGCTGCTTGTTTGTGTTTACACAACAAGGAAGTATTCTGTACGTGTCAGAAAGCATAACATCTCTCCTAGGTTATCTACCGGTAAGTCCAGTCATATTCTAGATAGAAAATACCAGGAAGTTAACTTAACACAGTAATTTTTTTTCTGATTTTTGTTTAAGTTAATCACCAATTCTTGATTCAAATCATAATCTTATATTTTACTCCATAACTGTTTTACAAAAACCAATCGTCTCTTAAAATTACCTGAATACTTCTATTTCCTGTTTCAGTAGTTAGTAAAATTGGACATTGATTTTGTACATTGTAATGTCATTGAAGAATGATATCTTAAATCTTGGAGAACAACATTCGCAAACCATTTGTTGTTGTTGTTTGTTTTTATTGATTTATTTCTGGTTTTGGGGTCTTTCTGTATTTTATCTAGGAATGACCATGAATAGACAAATACATATATGGACAATAAAAAAATTCACAAATACAAATTGTACCAGATTGCTGATCATATTCACAGGACAAAATTTTCACAATTTTCCTTTAAAACAAGATATTGAAAATCTAACAAATTAAAATTTCATGACCTGAATATAAGAGGATACTTCTTTTTCATAGAAATAGTGATTGATAATTCATTAGACACATGTAGGATTCTTAATATTGATAATGATTCATGCTTTTGAGTGCTTGTATTCTAAATCATGTTATTTGTATCACATACCATTTAATCTGTTTCAAACAAATGTAAGTTAAAGTGTATATGATGTTACTGCACAATGAAACAGCAAATATACCATCCCAATGATAACTGGGTACATGGTATCCATGTCTAATGACATTTTTTACATTGATGTAAATTATTGTTTATGAAAGTAAGACAGAGTTATATGGTACTGGTTGTAATTTTCAAGGTCTTTTTTCTAGGATAGATACCATGAAAATAAAAATCATAAGAGAAAAAGTCTTATCTTTTATCAAAAAACATGTCCTATATATTAAAAAAAAACTGGATAAAACTGTAAAAAGAAAGTGGAATTTACCATAAAAAACACATTATGAAAAGCTTGTGATTAAAATCACTGTGATTTTTATCGGAGGAAAAAAAACCCAAGAAAAACCAAAAAGAAAGTGCAGAATTGTTATTATTTTTTTAATAAAAAGAGTAGTATAAAACATTTTGTCTTGCTGTTTTACAGAATGATTTAGTTAACAAGTATGTATACAGCTATATACATGAGAACGAGAAACAGAACCTCTACAACATGTTGTTCCACTTTAGTATGCTGTCACCCGAGGAGATGGAGAAAGGTGGGCTTCTAATTTCAAATATTCCAGTTATACTGAATCTTTGTGCCAATCGATCATTGATATTTTTAGTTAAAAAACATTTATTGTATGCATCAAATTGTAAAATATTGCGGTTAATAATATTTGTTTTGAAACATGATAATCAATACTTGCTTGAATCAAATTTTAAAATATTTCAATGGATGATATTTATTTAGGAAATGTGTAGGATACATATTATTGTTTTTTTGATGTGTTTATGGCCTTTTGAACAGTCAGTGTCATTTTTATACGCCACCGGTGTATCTGTAGCTGTATCTGTAGCTGTATCTGTAGCTTGCTCTTAGTGGAGCTTGGTGAATGCAACTCCTCCTAAACTAATGATCAGATTTTCATAAAACTTGCTCAATGTCACTACTACAATGGGTAAGTGTGCATGAAGGGGCTTTTACGGCCCTTTGATTTTTGTGAGATTTATGTCATTTTATATTGATCTTTATATTTTGTGGCGGCGTATATTGTGTCCACGGCACTCTTGTAAGTCAAGTTCTGGTATTGGTAGCTGGTGACCATCTTACTGAACACCATGTGAGAGGCACACCATACGCTATTCAAATTTAAAGCAGACTGAGTAGTTTCTTGCCTAAGAGCACTGTTACTATAGGATGGTCTGAGATCTTAGTTTCCTGAGAAACACAAATCACCAAGATAAATACAGGACTATCCAAACATCTTAGATCTCTTCACACGAGGTCATCATCAAACTTATGTTAATGTTTAAAGCGTTGGCTGATCATTGTTCTTTGAAAGTCTAGGTGAATTTTCATTTCATGAACTAATCAGATGATTTAAATTTTGTTTGTTTGTTTGCAGAAAAGAACCAATTATCATTCAGCTGTCATTTCCAGAGAGGTAGCTTAAGATCTGAAGAAAGTAACGTTTATGAATCTGTGACTTTCACTGGGTTCCAGTATTGGAATGGTGAGTAAATATATATAAAGGATCTTCAATTTGTTTTCTATCATATCATATTTTATGAAACAAGTTCTAAGTTTCATATAACTTCACCTAAAATGAATACAAATTTAAGAAACTTTCAATTCTCAAACTCTTTAAGTGATTTAAATGCCAATAAAATATGTGAAAAGAAATGACCTTCATCAGTATTTAAGGTCTCGTGGGCCAAATATAAAATCCTTCAAAAGAAGGTTTCTGGAATGAAGTTCAACAAAGTATGTACCAAGGATTGAACTTCATGACCCATGTTCAAGATTGTAGGGATCAAACCTATTGTAGCTTTTAAACAACTTCTTTCAAAAGTATAACGATTGATAGGTTCCAGAGATAAAGCCCATTAATGTTTATGAAAAATAATTATTTTGAACAATATTCCATGGATGAAGCTCAACAAATGTAACAGAAGTCAGACTTGTTAAAACCTGAAAAAAATCTTCTATTGAACCAAAATGCATAGAATCATGATATTTGATTGATGGATTCAAGGTAACAGAAGGTTAAGTTTGTTCAAATCTTCAAATGACTTCTCATTAACTAAAACCAAACGAGTGGTGCAGACCCATTGGGCCTCTTGGTTTTTTTTGGTCTCAGGAAGAAAATCACATGTTTTATTATTGTAGTGGTCTCTGAAGATGATTCCCAGACTGGTCTACAGCCTCCGACCAACTGTTTCTGTTGCACAGTACGATTAAAGAGCTCCCAGTTCATACGAGAGATGGCCATCATTGATGAGTCACAGTCAGAATTCACATCAAGACATAGCCTGGAATGGAAATTTTTATTTCTTGATCATAGGTACGTTAAAGTTATTCTAGGCTTTTCAAAAAATAAATCATAAATTGTGATCTTGTCATCAGTGATGTGGTCAATTTACAAGAATAACTAAGCTTGATAAAGATGTTTATAAATGTTTTCATTACAAGATATGAATTGCAGTCTGTTAGTATAGTTTTTATATTTTTATCATGCCTCCATTTTACTTCACACAAGATGATTAAACAGGTGCTGGGTTAAAATTGATTTTCAAAATTTTCTTTTGTCATGTTTTTAACTTCTCATCAAAAAGTTTATTTTCATCTAACTTTATATACTATTACCAGGTGTGGGTCATTGATTTTAATTTTTGATTTTGAATCTTAAGTTTTGAATGTGAACATGAAAAGGTATTTGTCAATTAGTCCATGTCTGGTAATAAGACCAGCCATATCTATTACTGTTAAGTGAAAATGCTGACGAGTGATAGTTCAATTTTCTGCAAAAAGCCTCTACTGTTAGTTTCTGAGTCGGTCATCCAAGGCTTACTACAATAAATATGTATATATTGTGTATTGTGTATGTTTTTCTTGACTGTATTTAACAGAGCCTCTCCAATAATTGGTTATCTCCCCTTTGAAGTACTGGGCACATCTGGGTTCGATTACTATCATCCAGATGATCTTGAACCTTTAGTTAAATGTCATGAACAATGTAAGTATTATCATAATGTAAATTTTTAGTTTGTATTAGTGTGTTGTAATATGTGTCCCATATCATTATTCTTGTATTTACCAGGTAACAGATTTCATTATTAAAATCAGTTAAATATATGATTAAAATGTTTTTTGTAAATGAAAACTTTAAATGGTGTTAACTGTTAAAGTAACAGAGGGGGGTGGCGGAGGAGGGGGGGAGGGGGGGGGGGGGCGGGGTAGTGGTAACACACTCGCCTTTCAGTAGGTGCCTGGGTACAATTCCTGGCACAGACATAAAAAGATATTGAGTCACCTGCATGACCATGTGGGTTTTACACAGGTACACTGGTTACCTCCTACAGTAAGGCCAACAAAAGTGATTATTATCAGCTTAAATATTGTTTTGAAATTGTTGTAAAATAAATACTGGGATAAGTTTATACTTGTTTTATATATACTTATTTTTTATCCCTATTTTTTGCTTTATTAGGTCTGTTTTTACATTGAATCCTTTAAAACTTGTTTCTGAGGAGATAAGGTACTTTAACTTCCTGTCACAGGATCCCAGGTAGTGAAGTAAATCAGATTTGTTTTTTGTTAATAGACATGTGATTTTAGAATGTTTGTGTTTCAGTGATGCAGATTGGGAAGGGGATGTCATGTTTTTACCGATTTCTAACTAAAGGACAACAGTGGATCTGGCTGAAGTCACGTTACTATATCACTTACCACCAATGGAACTCCAAACCCGAGTTTATTGTCTGTACAAACACAGTTGTTAGGTAAGACTGTAGGTCTTCACATTTAAAAGACAACATCGCGAATATTTGATCTGATCACAAAATTAATTAAAATTCATGTATTTATGGTTTAATACTGAAATCTTTTTCTTCTTTCATTGTTTTTTTTTAAATTTTTTCTGTGTATGAGATAACTTCTAATATAGTTTTCACAAATATCTATTTAGTGTTGTGAATTTGCTTGTTTTTAAATTTTTGGAATTGGATCAATGTACTATGTGGTAACATTGTAAGGATGGCATCATTGAATGTCTGTGCCATCCAAACCCTCCAATAAACTTGGGGGAGGGAGCATACACTCTTTTCCAGGACTTTACATCTTGTCACATCCAGATCTTCTGAAACAATGTTATATCTTGAGAACAACTTTGATTTATATGTTCCTCATAGTGTCATAACACCTGCCACCTGATCATATCATTGTGGTCATCAGTCAAGGTTAAAAGATTGAAAGTCACATATGACAACTTCCTTAAATTTATTAAGTAGCATTTATGGACAGTAGTGGGTTATTTTATGACTTACAGCTGTGCAAAAAATCACCATTAACATAAATTGTTAGAAATTCTTGTTGTATGATAAATGATAAAAAAAACTTACTCAGTACACTTTAAAATGTGACAAATAATGTATGTGGTCACCAATTTACTGCAGACCTGGGAAATTTTCATGCAGTTTAATTTATGCACCTTTCACCCTTTAGTCACTAAGGGAATTGGGAAAACAAATATTTTGATGTAAGAATGAAAATAACATCGGGTGAAAATGAATATTTTGATGGGAGGATGAAAATAACTCTGGGTAGGTAAAAACAAGCATTTTCATGGGAAGGCTAAAATAATTCTGGGCAAGTGTTACCCTACATATATATATATGAATATTTTTCCAGTTTCCTTATCAAACCTTTGTCATGTAAATATCTCTCTGACTAGTTTAACAAACTTTCTTGGTTTACTAGCTATGCTGATGTCCGTGCCCATGTGAGGCAGGAAAATGGCGAGGAAGCACAAAATGTAAACCTGGCAGCTGAGCACAGGAAGAGACCTCAAAGCCCATCCATGTCCTCTGTTCTCTCTGGTCAGTCCAGTAAGTATCATTATTACAATCTTAACGGCCCATCAACACATGAAAGATCATTAGAGCCATTAAGTCCAGATAGTTACTTTCACTTCCATATTTGTCTCTGGATTAGAACTCACAAAATATATTCTACAATGTGATCACCCAAATTGAGAACAAAATTGTGTCAATATATTTTTATTGTTATCTCAGAGAAACGTGTTTGGATGGGATATTAATTTGGGCTCCATCTGTGAGTGCTTCCTTTCGTCTGTCCGTTTGTCCGTCTGTCATGTTTTTTGTCCAGAGCATAACACGAAAACTATAAACATAAAACTTGATAGATAGATAAATTTCAACAGGGAGAAGTGCAGTGCACAAGAACCATCTATCTTTTTTGCACAATTTAGGACTTACTGCTCTTTGTTAATTTTTTGTACTTAAATTTTGTCTGGAGCATTACACTAAAACTATAAGAGGTATTAACATGAAACTTCATAAGTAGATAGATCTCAACAAGAAGGAGGGCAGTGCTCAAGAATCATAACTTGGGGAGCATAATATGTCTCCAACGGCCCCTGTTTATTATTCGGCTGCACTATAGCTAATTATTAGCTCACTTGGCCCAAAATACCAAAAGACGTAGAGATATCATATTTGGCTGGAAGGTTCCTTTGATAAAGCCCTACAAAGTTTGCAAAAAGAAATGCCCTTGACCCATATTTAAGGTCAGAGAGGTCAAATGTGGTAAAAACTTTAAGCGACTTCTTTCAATAGACCGGAAGGCCTAGAGTCATTATATTAGGCTGCTATGTTCCTCTTATGGTGTCCTGCAAAGTTTGTTAAAAGAAATTACCTTGACCAATCTTCAAGGTCACAGAGGTCAAATGTGTCAAAACCTTTAAACGACTTCTTCCAAAATACTGGAAGCCTAGAATCATTATATTTGGCTGGATAGTTCCTTTGATGAAGCCCAACAAAGTTTTTGAAAAAAGTTAAACTTAACCCATATTCAAGGTCACAGAGGTCAAATGTGGTAAAAACTTTAAGCCACTTCTTTCAATAGACCGGAAGGCCTAGAGCCATTATATTAGGCTGCTATGTTTCTCTTATGGTGTCCTACAAAGTTTTTTTTTAAAAAAAAATGACCTTGACCAATCTTCAAGGTCACAGGAGTCATCAAATGTGTTAAAATGTTTAAACAATTTCTTCTGAAATATCAAATAGCCTGGAATCATTATATTTGGCCAGTATTTCCTTTTATGAAGTCCAAGAAAGTAAAAGAAATGACCTTGACCCATAGTCAAGGTCACAGGGATCAAATGTGTTAAACATGGAACATATGCACAGATATAGTAATGTTGGTCATAAAGATCTAGGTGAGCAATACAGGCCCTCTGGGTCTCTTGGGGTAGTTTTGTATTGAAAGATGCTATTCATTTGTGTGTCTTTTGAATAATTACTCATAAGCAAGACTTGTGTTTCTTACATCAGTTGTTGATGGTTAAAATAAACAACTGTGTTTATCCTGTAATAAGTCCCATGTTTGGTAATAAGCCCACCCTTATCTGCTGCTGTTTAGTAGAATTATTACTGTATTTATCAAGTAATAAGTCCATGTCTCGTAATAAGCCCACCCATATCTACTGTTGTTAGTAGAATTGTTACTGTATTTATCAAGTAATAAGTCCATGTCTGGTAATAAGCCCACCCATATCTACTGTTGTTAGTAGAATTGTTACTGTATTTATCCAGTAACAAGTCCATGTCTGGTAATAAGCCCACCCATATCTACTGCTGTTTAGTAGAATTGTTACTGTATTTATCCAGTAACAAGTCCATGTCTGGTAATAAGCCCACTCATATCTACTGCTGTTTAGTAGAATTGTTACTGTATTTATCCAGTAACAAGTCCATGTCTGGTAATAAGCCCACTCATATCTACTGCTGTTTAGTAGAATTGTTACTGTGTTTATCCAGTAATAAGTCCATGTTTGGTAATAAGCCCACCCATATTTGCTGTTTAGTAGAATTATTACTGTATTTATCAAGTAAAAAGTCCATGTCTGGTAATAAGCCCACCCTTATCTATTGCTGTTTAGTTTGGTAATAAGCTTAGCCCCTGACATGGAAATTCATTCCATTCACTTTAATGCAGTTGCAGAGCAGTTGATTAAATAAACTCTATTTATCTGATTTTTTGAAAGGTCACATTTCAAGTGTTAATATTTGAAATTTGAAAGAAATCTTCATAACAGTAATCTGTTACTGCTTTTATCCTGCAATGAACTAATGAGGACAACAAACAAGTTTTGAAATGGTGGGCCTGTATGTATAATGTTAGATATTGAGGAAGGTCTTCAAAAGAAGTATGTATCTGACTGAACTGAGATCCAGCTCCATTTGAACTGAATTTATGCATGGTCCATTCCCGTTCTTTAATGTTTTGCACTCAGAAAGCAATACTAGTCTGGGTGATTATTTCTCCTGAAGTTTATAAGCCAAACTTAAAAGCATTGCCTTGACCTAGATAATCAGTATTGGTGTGCATTGTGATTGATCTCCTCTGCATCAGACATACACAAATGATACTTTCAGTGTGAGCCCACACACTGCTAACAACTCGCTGGCAAATTGAAAAGTCATGTCGGTCTAAAAGATTATATTGAACAGAACAAACATACAGAATAATGACAGCAGTATTTACTCACCTCTTCTGTTCCATCCTACATACTAACCACTGTAAATCATGCATTTTCGGGGCTCAAATTTCATTGTTTTATGAAAAAGCATATCTAATGGAAAGTTGATAAATTGATAAGTAATGCTCACAAAATCCACTAGTACTATAATTCATGTCTGTTTTTATTACTCCCATGAAACGAGTTTGCAGAGGATATTAATTTTGGCTCTCTGCGTCTGTGCCTGCTTCTGTGAATGGGTGTATCTGTCTGAAGGCGTCTGTGCCTGCTTCTGTGAATGGGTGTATCTGTCTGAAGTCTTTTGTGAGCTTTAACTTCAAAACCGTTAAGCTTAACTTCACAAAGTATGCTGTATATATTGAGATAGAGCCCTAGTTGTTCCTTTTGCTATTGATGATATATTTTCATTTTTCATCTTATTTCTGTTTCCATGGAAATATAGCCAAAAAACACTAAATTAGTGTTTACTTTCCTTTCCAGGCCCCAACTTCAAAATTGTTCTCCATTAAGCTAAAAAACTTGCTGCATATATGAAGTTAATGCCCTAGTTTTACCTTTTGCAATTGACAACATTTAAAATTTCAAATTTTTGTGTTACCATGGAAACATAGCCAAAAATACAAAATTAGGGTTTTCTTTCCTTTCCATGCAACAGCTTCAAAACCGATTGATTTTGACAAAAGAAGACATTATATTTTGCAGTAGTGCTGAATAAGATCTTCAGGCGATAGTCGTGGTATATAACTGAGTGACGTCACAATTTGTTTTACCGGTTTATATATAACCCCCTCTGTTTATCATTTTGTTGACTTGTAAATAAATGGTTTAAGAGTACCCGGAAATTCAACGAAAACAAATTCTTCATAAAAGGTAATGATTTTACAGTGTAACATCTAATGCCATGGAGGTATTGGGCCAGTGACTAGGCTTCATTAGTAAGCGATCTGAATAACTATGTATTTGTCGTTATATAGGTAAAACATCGGACAAAGACAGTGTGGATAGTTCACCGCTGCCACACTCAACATGCAGCAAGGATCCTACAGGGTCTGTAACACCACAGCTCCAACAGTTACTGCAGCAACGCATCAACCAACAGAAGGCCATTCAACAGCAGCAAGAGTTGACGACACAAATACAATTGCTTCCTCAGCCTAGCTTGGTCACCGGTCTCCTCGCTGGCAAAGTAGCTACCATTAGTAACCTTCCATCTGGCCTTGGGGTAAATATTCTTCAAGTCTGCGGTAAAATTTATCTTAAGTTGTTGAATTAAACACAAATTGGTGTATGTCTAGATATGAGCAGTGTTAAAGAGCCATAACTCTCTTTTGTATAATTAAGGAGTTGTTGCCGTTTGTTATTTTTCAAACTAGCATTTGTTCAGGGAATAGCCATCAGTTCTACTAATTCTCTTGTTGTGAACAGATTAAATTTATATTTATATTTTACAACTATTGAAGTCAGTAATTCGTTTTTTAAGATTCGATGTTACTGCTGTCTTAGTTTAAAATTATCTGGTATTATCCTGCTTATAGTGCTATACCTTAGCAGTATTCACTAATTACCCCTGAAAGAGGGTACAAAACCCTCTAAATAGGTGGAATTCAGAACTTGTACCCTCAGTTTTCAATATGAAAATACACTATTTAAGTTAACACTGTACCACCAGTTTCAACTCATAATGGGGGAACACTGCCTTAGATTCTGTCCAGTAAATTTACATAAATCCAGAAATTAGGGAGAGGAGTCGATGCCTTGCTCCTTGTAATAGTGTATCAGGTTTGTCATCAAGGCATAGATACCTTTGAAGTATGCAGGTTGATTGCATATGACTTTGATATATGAACAAGGAGCTTTCTTTTAAGGTTGTCTGAGCCATTATGTTTTTTTTGTCATCATGCAGCATGTATAACCTTTCTAAATTGTAAACCTATCAAATTTCACCTCTGGGGTTGAGCTGAATCTTACCTGGAATGATCCTGAGATGGTCATTGACAGGTGTTAATTTTTGGGATTAGTTGAAAATCCAAAATGGCTTCCATGGCAAAACACAATCTTTTTCCTTCGTTCCACTGATGTCATTGGTCTGAAATTTGATGGGAATCTTAAAAACTGTATTAAAGAATGTTTTTGGCCCTAATGCTAAAATATTCTGAAACGTTTTACTGCTTATTGTTCCAACTACTATTACTGTTACCAGTGTTATTATACATGTTGAATGATTTTTGTTTTAACAGCTGACACAACAGGTGAAGACACAATCAGTTCCAACACCCCACTGTAATCTTCCTGTGGTAACTGTCATCCCAACAAAACCCTCTTCGGTATGTAAATCCTGTTGATCTTATACCCCCCCTTCTCACCACAAAGTTATGTACCGGTACCTCCCCCTCACCACTATGTTATGTACTGGTACCTCTCACCACTAAGTTATGTACTGGTACCTCCCCCTCACCACTACGTTATGTACTGGTACCTCCCCCTCACCACTATGTTATGTACTGGTACCTCCCCCTCACCACTACGTTATGTACTGGTACCTCCCCCTCACCACTATGTTATGTGCTGGTACCTCTCACCACTAAGTTATGTACTGGTACCTCCCCCTCACCACTATGTTATGTACTGGTACCTCTCACCACTAAGTTATGGACTGGTACCTCCCCCTCACCACTAAGTTATGTACTGTTACCTCTGACCACTATGTTATGTACTGGTACCTCCCCCTCACCACTAAGTTATGTAGTGGTACCTCCCCCTCACCACTAAGTTATGTACTGTTACCTCTGACCACTAAGTTATGTGCTGGTACCTCCCCCTCACCACTAACTTATGTACTAGTACCTCCCTTTCACCACTAAGTTATGTACTGGTACCTCCCCTTCACCACTAAGTTATGTACTGGTACCTCCCTCTGACCACTAAGTTATGTACTGGTACCTCCCTCTGACCACTAAGTTATGTACTGGTACCTCTGACCACTAAGTTATGTACTGGTACCTCCCCCTCACCACTAACTTATGTACTAGTACCTCCCTTTCACCACTAAGTTATGTACTGGTACCTCCCCTTCACCACTAAGTTATGTACTGGTACCTCCCTCTGACCACTAAGTTATGTACTAAGTTATGTACTGGTACCTCTCACCACTAAATGTACTGGTACCTCTCTCACCACTAAGTTATGTACTGGTACCTCCCCCTCACCACTAGGTTATGCGCTGGTACCTCTCTCTCATCACTATGTTATGTACTGGTACCCCCTCCGACCACTAAGTTATGTGCTGGTACCTCTCTCTCATCACTATGTTATGTACTGGTACCCCCTCCAACCACTAAGTTATGTGCTGGTACCTCTCTCTCACCACTATGTTATGTACTGGTATCTCCCTCACTTATAGGTCTTTACAGTCAGATGACTGTTATGGTCCATGCACCTCTTTTTATAATGATCTTCTTCTCTCTGTTTAGACTGCCCAGTCACAACAGGCCCAAATGACCCCTGTCCAGCGGCAGCTACACAGTCAACTTCTACAGAAACACAAGTTACTACAGCAGGCCATTCTAAAACAGCAGGAAGAACTACAGTTAATTAACCAACAGCTGTCTCTGTTCCAGCCAACAGTGGTACCTGTGTTCCCAGTCACAGCCTCCTTTTCATCTGTCTCAGCCATGCCAGGTACGTGAAACCATTGACCCTTAAATTTAATTTCCTCAATTCACAATTCCAACAGGCTTTGATCATTCTGTACATACTGGTATTTTTGCGGTGTTCTTTTTCCTCTATTCGTGAATGGATGAAAGTCATGAGAAAAAACAGAAAAAAACATAAATTGAATACTGTAAAATTATAAATTTTATGAACACTTGATTTCATTGATGAATACTACTTAATAAATTGACTTATTCTAATTTTAACAAAAATTACCCACTGGAATATTAATGAATTAATAATACAGTAAAGAATATCTCAGGGTGACCTATTGCAATCCCTTTTGGTTGTGCATTGTGCGCCACAAAGTTTTAACATTTTCGACTTCTTCTGGACACCCCCTGAAACACTTTTAACGAAATTTTACAAAAACCTTCATGGCTAAAGGTGCAGTTTAATTGCAAATTATATGGTTCCCAACCCCCAGGGGCCTAAGGGGCGGGGCCAGAAAGGGTGAAACTTCCACAAATCTTCTTCCCAAATCCCAATTATAGTAGAATCAAATGCTCTTCATGGATGGAAAGGCCTTGCTTGGATGCTCTACCAAAATTGTGAATTTCATGACCTTATGGTCTTGCATTTCCCCCAGGGAGGGGATGAAGTTTACTGTCGTTTATATAGGAAAATGACATTTTTGAACATTATTTATTTTCTTTTTGAAATAGTTTAAACCTACATTGTACAACATCTGCAGCATTGGTGCTTCAAACATAAACTGTGAGAAATCACTACTGAGTGTTCTTTATGTCAACTGTTCATCCATCAGTCCATAAAATTCCAGAATCGGAAGAATATTTCTCAAACTTCTTTTGTGTTATTATGGTTGACAAAAGGCCATCTTGGATTTTGACAGTTGTAGATTGTTTCTGTAATTTCTTGAGAGTACTTGTTTCAAAATTCAAATGTAAGTTCCCCTAGGTGCCTAGTTGAGCCCTTTTGATTTTTGGACAAATAAACATCCAAAATGGCCAACAGGCAGCCATCTTGGATTTGGTACTCATTTGCTATATCTTTGTGAGGAACTGTCAAATTTCATATAATTGGATAAAAGCAAAAACAAAGACAGAAGGGTTATTAAGGAAAAAAAATCAAACTTTAAAAGAATAGGATCAAACAATGGTGGACACAAACATCTTTCAAGGATCTCTTGCTTATGTTTGATATATTGGTGGTTACTGATAGAGGAGAGATATTTTACGGTTATTTATAATTAATATGTACACTAGTTACTGATAGAGGAGAAATATTTTAGGGTTATTTATAATTAATATGTACACTAATTACTGATAGAGAAGATATTTTAGGGTTATTTATAATTAATATGTACACTAGTTACTGATAGAGGAGAGATATTTTACGGTTATTTATAATTAATATGTACACTAGTTACTGATAGAGGAGAGATGTTTTAGGGTTATTTATAATTAATATGTACACTAGTTACTGATAGAAGAGAGATATTTTAGGGTTATTTATAATTAATATGTACACTAGTTACTGATAGAGGAGAGATATTTTAGGGTTATTTATAATTAATATGTACACTAGTTACTGATAGAGGAGAGATATTTAGGGTTATTTATAATTAATATGTACACTAGTTACTGATAGAGGAGAGATATTTTAGGGTTATTTATAATTAATATGTACACTAGTTACTGATAGAGGAGAGATGTTTTAGGGTTATTTATAATTAATATGTACACTAGTTACTGATAGAAGAGAGATATTTTAGGGTTATTTATAATTAATATGTACACTAGTTACTGATAGAGGAGAGATATTTTAGGGTTATTTATAATTAATATGTACACTAGTTACTGATAGAGGAGAGATATTTTAGGGTTATTTATAATTAATATGTACACTAGTTACTGATAGAAGAGAGATATTTTAGGGTTATTTATAATTAATATGTACACTAGTTACTGATAGAGGAGAGATATTTTAGGGTTATTTATAATTAATATGTACACTAGTTACTGATAGAGGAGAGATGTTTTAGGGTTATTTATGATTATGATAAATAGGTATGGTGGTACTGATAGAGGAGAGATGTTTTAGGGTTATTTATGATAAATAGGTATGGTAGTACTGATAAAGGAGATATGTTTTAGGGTTATTTATGATTGAGAGTATTTATTTTCTGCAGGCACAGGTATTATGATGACAAGCATGCCTGCACAGACGACCCAGGCTCCACTCACCTTCCAGCCAGCTTTACACTCCCCCGTCCAGTCGACTATGGACCAACAGCAGTATGTGCCGTTACAGTTTCTCCAGCCTGACAATGAGGTACTCTTCTCTAACGATTCATCAAGTAAGGTTTTCTCACTGACATGACCCTACAACATTCCTTAACAGGGATAAAAAATGCTTCCTGTCAGAATGTCAAGTTTGGTTTTCACAAGAAATCTCTCTTATGGTCATACTTGGCACTTACAACTCTGACGGTTTCCCTTGAAGGAGTCACTGCAGCAAAACTGGCATGGCTAACTGTTGTGTGGTTCATTCTGATGGACTGTCATCTTGCTGTTCAGTTAACTATAATGCAGGCTGTTGGTCAACGTCATCAACCAGGATTTAAGCCATTGCCTAATAAACAAGTTTGCGGTGATATTTGAGCTTGAGAGGGTATCTTCATGATTCAACCGTATGTACAGTAGAGGATTTAAGATCTAACAGCTTCTGGTGAGTCTCTGTCCAACTGCAGTCGCAGATGTGACATTGCACCAGTCATTTTGTCCTCATGTGACCAAGTCAGACTGAGATAAAACAGAAACATTCTGAGAAATGAAATTCTCGTCTTCACATCTGTTAAGAGGAATTAGTGGCCATTTTGTTGAATATTTGAGCACAAGACAAGGACTAATGAAGGATGGAATACTTGATGGGACGCTCCGTTGGTCCATACGACGAACATGAAATAAAATTTCTACTGTGATCAGTAGGTTTTAAATATGCATTTAAACCACAACAAAGAACAACAAAGAGATGTTTGTGTGTTTAATACCTAATAATATTGGTGTACTTGTGTATGTGTAAGCAAGTATGTTAGATGATTTTCATATGTATGGTTGGTAGAGGGATGTCTGTCTTGTTAAATATATGGAATACTTGAGTGTATGTATAAAATTGGCCTATTATAGGCATATGTATTTCTTTAAAACTTTGCCTGTAAGAGACTTTTTCATGGTCAGAAATCTAAGACCTATTTGTTTTCATGGTCAAGTTGTGGGAACAGTGACGTGCCTTTCAGCAGTATCTGCTTTAGAGTTCCTTTCTTCTTGGGGATGATGCAAAATACTGTGTTGACTGTTTAACGTTACGTGAAAAAGGACAATAAAAGCGTGTCTTAATTTTGGGTTCATGTAAGAAAAAAACAAGCAAATGACCTTCAACTTAATCATATTCAGATGCAGTTCAACCTTAGCTCTATGTTATTATAAACGTAGTTTGAACTTCAAAAAATTTTGGATGACAAGACCTTACTTTGATCACACTTTTAACATAGATCTCTCTTATAGTTGATTGCGATAGGCTGTAGTGTTTACCTTAGTTGACCAGTAATATATGGCTGGCTATGATTGTGTGCAGCCAAGTTTGGACAAAGTCATGTCTGTTCAGTTAACATTATTTTCACAGCACTGTTGGTAACGTCATCAACTAGGATTTAACTAGCTGTTTTGCTTCAAGTTCAACAAGTTTGCTGTATTTGACATGAAGTATCTTCATATTCAACCGTATGTACAGTAGAGGATTTACATTTAACAGCTGCTGGTGAGTCTCTGTCCAACTGCAGTCGCAGATTGACATGGCACCAGTCATTTTGTCATGTGACCAAGTCATGTGATAAAACAGAAACATTCTGAGAAATGAAATTCTCGTCTTCACATCTGTTAAGAGGAATTAGTGGCCATTTTGTTGAATTTTTGAGCACAAGACAAGGACTAATGAAGGATGGAATACTTGATGGGACGCTCCGTTGGTCCATACGACGAACATGAAATAAAATTTCTACTGTGATCAGTAGGTTTTAAATATGCATTTAAACCACAACAAAGAACAACAAAGAGATGTTTGTGTGTTTAATACCTAATAATATTGGTGTACTTGTGTATGTGTAAGCAAGTATGTTAGATGATTTTCATATGTATGGTTGGTAGAGGGATGTCTGTCTTGTTAAATATATGGAATACTTGAGTGTATGTATAAAATTGGCCTATTATTGGCATATGTATTTCTTTAAAACTTTGCCTGTAAGAGACTTTTTCATGGTCAGAAATCTAAGACCTATTTGTTTTCATGGTCAAGTTGTGGGAACAGTGACGTGCCTTTCAGCAGTATCTGCTTTAGAGTTCCTTTCTTCTTGGGGATGATGCAAAATACTGTGTTGACTGTTTAACGTTACTAAAAAGGACAATAAAAGCGTGTCTTAATTTTGGGTTCATGTAAGAAAAAAACAAGCAAATGACCTTCAACTTAATCATATTCAGATGTAGTTCAACCTTAGCTCTATGTTATTATAAACGTAGTTTGAACTTCAAAAAATTTTGGATGACAAGACCTTACTTTGATCACACTTTTAACATAGATGACCATAGTTGATTGCGATAGGCTGTAGTGTTTACCATAGTTGACCAGTAATATATGGCTGGATGATTAGAACTGCAGCCAAGTTAAACAAAGTCATGTCTGAAGTTAACATTATTTTCACAGCACTGTTAAGTATAGTTGACTAGGATCAACTAGCTGTTTTGCTTCAAGTTCAACATAGTTTGCTGTATTGACATGAAGTTGACCATATTTAAACTTTCTTTGATTTACATTTCCTCTTTGGTCAATTTTGAACCAATTGTCAATAATTCATGTCAAGTATGTGTCAGACTGTGGCTTAAAGGTACAGAAAATAGGTCCACCAGCTCCTGGTGGTATTAGGTTTCTCTGATCCTAGTGTCTGACCAGTCTATAGCAGGTTTATACAAGTCTATAGCAGATAGCAGGTTTATACAAGTCTATAGCAGGTTTATAAAAGGCTATAGCAGGTTTATATAAGTCTATAGCAAGTTTATACAAGTCTATAGCAGATAGCAGGTTAATACAAGTCTATAGCAGGTTAATACAAGTCTATAGCAGGTTTATACAAGTCTATAGCAGGTTTATACAAGTCTATAGCAGGTTTATACAAGTCTATAGCAGATAGCAGGTTTATACAAGTCTATAGCAGGTTTATACAAGTCTATAGCAGGTTTATACAAGTCTATAGCAGATAGCAGGTTAATACAAGTCTATAGCAGGTTAATACAAGTCTATAGCAGGTTTATACAAGTCTATAGCAGGTTTATACAAGTCTATAGCAGGTTTATACAAGTCTATAGCAGGTTTATACAAGACTATAGCAGGTTTATACATGTCTATGACAGGAAACCAGTGGCACTGAAAGTTGTGATGTCTGTTTTTATATTTGTGTGTATGGACCTGTATGTTTTGTTTTTTATTTGTTGATAAATAATTTAATAGTGATATGTTTAATGTTTCACACCTGGACATATGGATGTTTGTGTAAGTGCACATGATTGAAGTGCACATGATTGTTTTAAATGTATGTGTGTAATATGTACATATATGTGTGTGTGATTTTTTGTATGTATGTGTGTTTTGTACATATAGGATTTGTATGTTTATATGTTAAAGTAATACAAATTGTTCTTGCGTATCTGTAACTATATTTTTGTATGAATCGTGAAATGATGAATGACGGGTATCCAATCAAAAGATATTGTTGAAATCAAACAAGATTTATCAGGAACTTAGTATCGGAGTTGTATATTTATTCAGAAGTTTATATTGGTGTAACGTAACTTTGCCAATTGAGGTAAATGCCAGTGAATTTGAAGTCCTCCTAATACAATATCATACTATATAAAAGGTTCAATCACCTAAACCAACAACTAAGGTCCAACTGTACATTCTGTTCCAAACTGGAACATCCTTATGTATAATGAATAGAGACACACATCTATATGTATTAGCCAATCAAATTGACATATCTTTTCTAATATAACTTTTTAACTCCGATGTAATCCTGTTTTAGTTATTGTTGTAGTTTCTTGGAAGAATTTATTTAAGTACCTGCTAGTCCTCTTTTGAGCTTGGGTATTGATGACTCAAATTATTTAGATCAATCATTTGATATAAATCATTGCATATCATGTATGTAAAAGGAGCTGGTCAGTATGGCTTGTACATAGTGTTAAATACCGTTTCTGGAACTCAGTTGGCTGAACATGTTTCTTTGGTTCAGCTAGTAAAACTGGTTGATTTTCATTCCGGAAACCCGAGTTTGATTCCCTGTTGGGGCACTCAACAGGAATGTGTTTTCACTGTTCTTTAATCCCATGGATTTGGCATTTGGAGTCTCAGGTTGAAATTTAGGAAATCTCGAGAAAAACATTGAGATTTGTGTAAAAGGAGTGGTGGGTGTGGCTTGTATGGGTTTAGTGTTAATTATGGTCTCTGTCACTCAGCTGCTGGAGCACACATGGTAGAGCCACATATTATCACACCGAACACATAGGATAATTTCCCGTTGAGGCGTTTGATAGAAATGTGTTTTTCTCTGTACTTTAACATATCAATACCAGTGCTCCAGATAGAATTTAATGTCAGGTGTTAATTATCCCTAAAGTTGTTCATTACAGATGAATGTACTGTTTACTGTAGAAGAAAGAGAGTGAAACTGTGAGTACAATGGTTACTGATGGTATACGTCTAACCTATTTATAGTAACTATTAAGTCTTGCTCTTTATTTTTGCTAATGTGAACCCGCCAATTGTAACCAAACCACAGGAGCATATAATTGAAAATTACATACCACTGCAGACCTAACCAGTCACAATACAGGATCTGCAGCATGCTTTCAAAAGTTTCAAATGCAACTAAAAATTCTAATTAAATATTGCTTCCCAAATTAATTCAACGATAAATTATCAGTTTTAAGTTATTTATTTTGAAGTGATCTGTATCCTCAAAGTGTTTTGCTTGTTCAGAGTACTGGGACTTATCAGATGATTACATATTGACTACAATTTGAGTGGTGTCAGAAATTTCTCTGTATACATCTTAATCATAGATCATTAAGTCAATTTGTTTAGCTTGTGAAAGAGCAATTAAGTGAAACTGACTCAAATCTAAAGTCTTTGTTCTGTCTGATCTGAATGATATTGTCTAATTTTGTCTAGGATAAAAAATACATATCACAATGTGTTTTGCTGATGTCCAGGCATTGTCTCTCATCAAGAAAATTGTAATGATTTAAAAAAAAATATGAAGCATCTTCACG